ACAAGTCTTAAAGTTGCCAAGGTTGGACACCCCTGCTCTACAGCCTCGTGAGGCCGAAAAACAGGCCTTCCAGAAGTGCCAAAAGAGGCCTGTTTTCAGTCTCCTGAGGCTGCAGAGGTTTCCCTTGAGCCTCCAGTAGGGCATAAACAGCCTCAAACAGGCCAAAAATCATCTGGGAGGCACATGCATGTGCAGTGCCGATAAGGGGGCGGGGATGTTGCCCCCACATGCACGAGGGGGGCGGTGTATGGTATTGTGGGTGCCGCTATTGGCACACCACAACAAAAAGGTTCGCCATCACTGCCCTCCACCATTTCAGTTGTCCAGTCTCTTCTTTAAAACACTCCAGTGATGGAGCACCCACAATTTCTAAAGGCAAATCGTTCCGCTGCTTAATTGTTCTAACTATCAGGAAATGTCTCCTTGGTTCTAGGTTGCTTCTCTCCTGGATTAGTTTCCATCCGTGGCTTCTTGTCCAGCTTTCAGGTGCTTTGGAGGATAGTCTGTAGAGAGTCTCAGTCATCCAAGTCATGGTGCTTTTTTTCAAGAGGCAATTGGACTTTCTTGTTTTTTTCCTTTGGATAACTGAGAATCTCTACAGACTTTCAGCTGCACAATTTTGGATGAACATCCTTTGAATGGTGTAGGAGTACGAATGGATTCCCAGAGGAAAAATTGTAGACTACAGGAACCAGGAGCACGACTCAGGTGACTCGGAGGACACAGATAAACCTCCAAGTGCTTCCATGACTCTCTAAACCAGGGGACAGCTTTAAGACTTGTGGACTTCAACTCCCAGAATTCCTCCTCCAGCCATGTTAGCTCAGGAGTTCTGGGAGTTGAAGTCCACAAGTCTTAAACTTGCCAAGTTTGAAGACCCTTGCTCTAAAAGGATGCAAATGACTAGCTGTCTGCAAGGAACATAAATCCTTCCATTCCCCACCATCCTGTCAGAGCTGAAGACTCTTCTTAGATGAGAAGTGAAACATCTTCAAAGAAAAAACAAGAAAGTCCAGTTGCCTCCTGAAAAAAAATACCTTTAGGTTGACTCCCTTTTCTTTGTGGCAGTCATTCAAGGGTGGGATTCTACCAGTTCGCACCTATTCTCTAGAACCAGTTATTAACATTCTAAGCAGTTCAGAGAACCGGTTGTTAGAAGAAATTACTGGCCTAATCCTGTAAGGAAGGCAGGAAGGAAACATTATGGAGTTGCTTACAGAAACTGTCTCTCCATTAACCCTTATTACATTCTTGGCAGGACTAGACTTCCTGTCTCTGGAACTTCTCTGGAGTTTTTTTTCCCTCCTTTGCTGGTACTTTGCTTGTGTGGAGTGACCATTCAAAGTTACAATGGCACTGAAAAAAGTGACGTCACACTTACGACTGTTTTCACACTTACGACTGTTGCAGCATCCCCACAGTCATGAGAGGCCAGGTGAGGAGATGCATGCGTCGATGTGAGTGATATTGAGTTGGCCATGCCCAGCCAATAACATGACCACCAGGCCATGTCCACCCGGACACATGAACACCAAGCCACGCCCACCCACTAAGCCACGCTCTCAGAACCAGTTGTTTAAAAATTTGAATACCACCCCTGCAGTCATTGGCTTCATAGTTCAAGAACTCCAGAGAATCACAAGCTGAGGAAAGTTGGCCTATGTTGATGCACCCTTGACCAGTTTTTGTGAATGCTTCTGGCAATAATTATTGTTAAAAGACGAGATAGCTGAGTGGGTAAATAAACCAATAAAGATGACTCAGTTTGACCTATTTCATAGGGATGTTGAGAAGATCCAGTAGGACCTCATTGCAAAGAGGTTCTTAAAAAGTGCAAATCTAATCATAAGCACTTTATGTGTGGCTTGAATGGATTGGATCTCTGTTTTTTCAATGTCTCCCATTTAGGTTGGAATCCTCTCTCCAGTGATTAAAGAGAGGGGGATTTATTTTATTTTATTTTATTTTGGCCACCTGGAGCATTTATTGTTCCTTTTGGAGATAGAAAACCAGTGCTGAGCAATGAATTCAGCTGGTGCTTGAAGACTCAGAGCTGCAGATGTTCAGTGAGCCAATGTGCCCACATATATCTCCAATAAACAAGAATGGAGGCTTGCTGTTCTTCAGAAGTGTGCCCTTATTCCAGAAGAAGCACCAAAGTAAACAAAAGCATCAGAGAACATCAGGAAAGAGATCAGTAAGTTCTGTTTTATTGTCCATGGAAGTCATACTCTTATCTGGAAAGTCCTGCCTCTAAGCCATTTTGGGAGAAGAATCAACAGATTTCACTCAAAACTCCAAATCCATAAATATGGGAGATCCTAACCAGAGAGTTGAAGATGTGTAAAAAGAGACTCTTAGTAAACATATTGATCACATTAAATTGCTGAATGGTAATATCAACAACTAAGAATGTAGTTTGTTATATTACAAAAAATGTGGCACTCCTAATTTCAATCACTAACATTATCAGTCTGGTTCACATTCTCAACTGGAACAAAAACAAAAACAATTGGAATATATATATATATGTTCATTCATTTGTTCATTCATTCATTCTTCCCTCCACTCCTTTGCTTCTTCTTGCAATTTCTATGTTCAGCATTGACTTCCTATATAAAATTTTGAGTGACTGGTTGTATGAGCTGCCGTGTTTCTAAGAACAGCACAGTAATTCACAGTGTTACACATACTGCAACTTAAGAGTAATTTGTATATATTGTCAGGATTTAGACTTACTAGGTTCTTTAGCTTTTACTCCAGGAGAGTCCTCAATTCCAATCAGTGTGTAATAATAATAATAATAATAATAATAATAATAATAATAATAATAATAATAATAATAA